GGGGGGGGGGGGGGGAGGGGGAGGGGGAGGAGCGGCGGAAAGGGCCTCTCTATGACCTTTCCAACACAACAACCTGGGGGGTCTACTCGAACTCCATGGCCTTCCCAACACAACAACCTTATCGACAGGGCACCGCTGAGAGTGTGCCACGTGGGTTGATGTGCAGGAGCGTGGGAGAGACACGTGGCAGCGATGGGAGCTTCGGCAGCATCGATGACGTGGATCGATGGATAAGACAAGTTTCAGATGGCAGCTCTTCTTGGAAGGAGAAGGCCAATCTAGCGCTCTTGATGATGCTAGGAGGAGGAGGCGGAGGAGGAGGCGGAGGAGTTGAAAGCCACGTGGGACATTCGGTTACGCACACGGGGCAGCTTGCAGGAAGGCCACAGAGAGCAGACAGGAGCATTCAGTGTTATTTCTGCGGAGTAACGTGTACAGATGCACAGCAGACAGGGGAAGAGAGAGAGAGAGAGGGAGAGAGGGACTCTCTCTCTCTCTCCCCCGCGACTGACGGCAACCATTACCGAAACCCATCTACAAAGAGGACGGGTTCAGGGGAGGAGGAGAAGGAGAAGGAGAAGGAGGAGGAGGAAGGGAGGAAGTCCACACATCGCTCCATCAAGGTTGTTCGGTTTCTGAAGAAGCAGAATTGGTGGCTGAACCGAGCGGTTAATGCGCAGCAGGTATTGATAAGTCAACTATCAGAAATGGTGAGCCGTCAACAAAAAGAGTTCTTGGACCTGCAAGGAGCGTACCTGACCAAAATGGGTTTCCAGATTCCAGAGCTTGTGATAGGAGAGGTGGAGCGAAAGGGAGAGGAGAGAGAGGAGGAGAGGGCGAAGGAGGACCAAGAGGAGGAGCAGGAGGAGGAGGAGGAGGAGGAGGAGGAGGAAGACAAGAAGAAGAAGAGAGTACGGAAGAAAGGATTATCAGGGGCTGCTCAGGTACCTCCACGTGGAAGTAAGGCACACCGCTTGATTGATCCTGATGACAACCAACCTCAACTAGATTCGTCGAAAGTGCATCGAGGAGGAGGAGGGGGAGGAAGGGAAAAGGCAGAGCGAGAACAACGGAAAGGTGGTGGAGAATTAGGAAGAGGAAAAGCAGACCGAGAACAACGAGGAGACGGTGAAGAATCATTAGACGTAGAAGGAGGAGGAAGGGGAGGAAGGGGAGGAGGGGGAGGAG